AGAGTTGGCATTAATGTCTCAATCTTTAAAGGTGACCCTGTAGTGTATACTGTTAATTAATGTTTTTCTTCAGATTTTGATAAACTTTTTTCAAAAATGCCTCAGAAGATATTATATATTCCTAATCAGAAAGCTGGCTTGATCATTGGGAGAAAGGGACGCAATCTCAGGTAATTTAAACTTTAATAGAGTATAGATTGAATTTCTTTTTTCTTGTTTTAATTATTCCAATTTAATGTTATCGGAAAAAATTATATTCTAGCTTTTCTTACTTGCTCTTTTAAAGCTTTTGATTATCTTTTATTGGTTTAGAGAACTAAAGAATCCTTTGGTACTACAATTTTTTTTATAGAAGTTTTAATATTTCTTGGACTGGATATTTCATAAAAAAGACAATTTATAGATATGGTATTTCATAGACATTTTCATATCAGGACATTTCGTAGAAGACATTTTGTAAAGAGGACATTTCAAAGCTCCATTTCTGATCAAATGAGAGGTTGGGAAATTATTGAGACTTTTTCAGTATTACCCACAAAGGATGAGACTTCAGGGACGACTGTACAAAATTTGTTCATTTTTTGACTTTCATTAATGATTTCCTGCATTTCTGTTTAATTGTTTCCTTCCTTGACGAATCATTATACTATTAAACAATTAATTAATTAACATTAATGGTTACTTCAGCGACGATTGTACGGAATTTTTATTGCCCTTTTACTTGTATTTATTTGCATGTCTAAACTGGCTTATTTCTGAGCTTTATCATTTAGTAAACCATCAAAATACTTGATTAAATGAAGAAACCAAAAATAAAGCTTTAAATCGTCATATTTTTAGAACTTTGGGTCTTCTTCACAGTCTCATCATTTGTAGGTTACCCTGTATCAGAATTCAACCTTCAGCTTGTCTATAATCAAAGAGATCCAGACCGTCATTAAATGCTCATTCTATGTAAATAACCCTCAATTACATGATTTTTAATTATATGCTTAAACGACATCACTCTCCGACAAACATGGTTTTATGATTTGGTGTAAATAAACCATGATGAAACTAATTACTATAATGCCAAAACAGACAGAGGGACTAAGTAGCTGACAATAGGACTGGCAGAAGGACTGAGTTGCAGACAATAGGACGGGTAGAAGGACTGAATAGCTGATAATAGGACGGGAAGAAGGACTGAGTTGCTGACAATAGGACGGACAGGAGGACTGAGTAGCTGAAAATAGGACGGGCAAGAAGGACTGAATAGCTGATAATAGGACGGGAAGAAGGACTGAGTTGCTGACAATAGGACTGACAGGAGGACTGAGTTGCTGACAATAGGACAGACAGAGGGGCTGAGTAGCAGAAATTAGGACAGCCAGAAGGACTGAGTAGCTGTCAATAGGACGGGCAGAGAGACTGATTAGCTGACAATAGGACGGTCAGAGGGACTGAGTAGCTGACAATAGGACGGGCAGAGGGACTGAGTAGCTGAAATTAGGACAGACAGAAGGACTGAGTAGCTGTTAATAGGACGGTCAGTGAGACTGATTAGCTGACAATAGGACGGATAGAAGGACTGAGTAGCGGACAATAGGACGGACAGAGGGACTGAGTAGCTGAAAATAGGACGGACAGAGAGACTGAGTAGCTGACAATAGGACGGACAATGGGACTGAGTAGCTGACATTAGGTCGGACAGAGGGACTGAGTAGATGACAATAGGACGGACAGTGGGACTGAGTTGCTGACAATAGGATGGACAGTGGGACTGAGTAGCTGACAATAGGACGGACAGTGGGACTGAGTAGCTGACAATAGGATGAACAGAGGGACAAAGTAGCTTACAATAGGACGGACAGGAGGACCGGATATTGAAAAGCCGTCAATAGGAAGTACAGAGGGACTGAGTAGCCATCAATAGGACAGACAAAGGGACTGAATAGCTGACATTTCCAACAGGATGGAGAGAGAGATTAAGTATCTATCTAGGAGGACTAAATGAACCTGTTCTTCTATTAAATTATTTTTAGAAAAATCTATCAGTCGATGGTACTTGATATTGGTTTATTATGACGTCAGGATTTACCCTGAAAGTTTATATGTTACTTCAGGGAGAAAAACGATGATGGAACATATTCCCTGACTATTACGGCTATGAACTGGTTGGCTGTGGAGAGGGTGAAGCAGGAGATAAACGAGTTATTTGAAGGAGTGAGATATTCAGGTAACAAGACGGTTTATATTATATTAATAATTAATTATATTAGTTAATATTTGTATATAGTTCATCTATGTAAAAATTAGTGAGAGGGGAGTATGCATTATCAAATAATACTGATTAAAAATATGTTTGATAATTATCCTTCAACTGTTTTTTAATAGCTTTTTCCGATTGTTATTGTCATCATTATCAGTTTTAAATTAGTTAAAACATGAGTATTCAATTTTTTTTGTATTGTTTAGGAAATATGTTGCCTTTGACACCTGAGAAAGAATTGGCTCTACGAGCTCGAATGGGCCCGTTGGCGCGCAGAGACATTATTCAGGAAATATTCAGGAGACCAACCTAAAAACAGCCCTGCTATGGCTGCTCTTTAAAATTTATTAATGTTGTAAAAAAGTTTATGATAGATTTTAAGAAAAAGTAAATGTATTCAAACAGAAGAAATGGATAGAAATAAATGCAAAAACAACTTCAAAATCAACGTAATTTGAAATGATTTCTACAAAGGATTTCTTATTATTCTATTTATAAAAGCAACAAAGCTCAGATATCTTTTTTGTAATGCTAACAGTCCCTTGCATTCGGAAATATTATGAAAAAATTGTGTGAAACCTTTATTTTCTAGTATTTTTCGTTGTTTGGAATAAAATTTTTAATTGCAGCAATATTTATTTTTATTTATTTAAAAAAAAGATATTCCATGTAGTGTTAAATCCCACCAACATTTGTTAACCTCAATTTAAAGAATATTTTTGTTATACTAAAATCTGATGGTTTTTTTTTCAACCAAAGCCTCTTTTCCTTAAAAAAGCTATTGAGAAAGGCAAACTAGTATTGAAACTAGAGTTTCCAAATTTTCATTCAACCTCTTTCGTGAAATTTTCGGTCAACCAAAAAAAACGAAAATATTTGCTCGTTTTCATAAAAATTTTAGAATTTGTGTTTAAATTCCTATTTTTTTGCTAAAACTTTTCACTTTCGTTAAAAACCCTATTTTTTCGCAAACTCTTTTTAGCAAAACATTTTCACGAAATTTGTACCTAATTTTATGAAATCTTCTTTTGAAAAGGTTCAATTAAAGATCTCAAATTTTCGTTAAAACATATATTTTTAGAAAGTTAAAAGTTAAGATCAAATCATTGTTAAGTCGGTTTAACCCTATCATGAATGGATGTAAATGGATGTTTGATTTTGAAGAAATTTTGCAAAAAAAAAAGTTTTGTTTATGTTCAGAGAGGTTTTATTTAATGACTGGGCCTTGAAAATTTAGACTGTGAATATTGGACATATATCACACTAATCATTCATTGGGGAGGGGGGGCAATCTATATTAAACATAAATAGCCCAATCGTGATAGGGTGGTTTACTATTCATTTGCCAATTAATTTCGAGAAATTTTCGCTTTTTTCGTTTTTTTTTTGCAAAACAGATTAAATTTTTTGCATTTTTCTCGAGCGAAAAATTTATTTTGTTGTTTTAACTGAAAGCAATTGACTGAGTGTATAGATATTCATTTTTTAAATGTTTGCAAATTATCAAATAAATCTTCAAAAAAGGAATATATTAATTTTCTGCCCGGAGGCCTTAGAGTTAGAAGTAACCCATGAAAAAAAAGACTTCACAGATAAATATTCCTATCTTAGGAAACTATTGTTAACTTTATAACAATCATGCTCAATTTATAGTAAATTTGATTATAAATGTGACATGCAAAAATTAATCATCATGTTATAATGTTGAATTAATGTTTTAATGGTTCCCAGATTTTCTCCAAACCTTTAGGATACGCTCATCCATTTCACTTGTGAACATTTTCTCTTTATATTCAATGTAATTTGTAGATCAAAAATTTTGCGAATTTTATAAATAAAAAATGTCGTGGATTTTCAAAGTTTCAAAACTCGAATTTTGTGAAAGGCAAATTTTTGAAAATTCGATCATCCATTAACCTTCCCTGGGGTCCCGTGAGGTCCCACAAAAAAGTTGGGCCTGATCGGTTCAGCCGTTTTTACGTTCATTGGATACAAACAAACAGACAGACAAGCAAAGTGTATATATAGATTTCTAGAACAATAAGCTTACTTTGAATGAAAACAAATTCGAAATTTTATTTTTTGCCTGCTTTGTCAAATTTAAAAAGCGTGTTATGTGCGACGTGCTGAAATGTTCCATTTTTCTAATCAAAATACTCTGTTTGCATTGAGAGGGAAAAGGAAGAATCTTGTTAATCTCAGAAGAAGGGGAGTAATTTGGTTTAGTATCCTATACTGTGTTTAGGACTGGGAATCCTTAATGGAAAAGATCGATCCTTCACAGAAACAAAAGGAATTCTGAAGAATGATGCCTTCGTTTTAAAAAATTAAGTGTTAAATACCGTGACAACCAGAAAACAATGCAATAGGAAGACGACTTTTAAGCAATACTCGTATTTTATGTTTATAGAAAGCAAATAGTTTTTCTACTAGACATAACTAGAGTATAAAAGTCGTCTTCCTATTTTATAGTTGTATGGTTATCACTATATAGTCAACAATAAAAAAAATTAACGCTTATTCACGTTAACGAACGGCTGGAACTGTTCTCGATCATTGACACAAAGAACGGAACAGAACGACGATTGAAAAACTGGAAATAGACCAAACGATCCAGCTGAAGGCCCTTCTTAAAGATAAAAAGGACTATGCCTAGTCATTTTGGTAGCTTAAAGTCTGTATTTATTCTGTACTACTGCCTCAGGCTTTAAATAAGTCAGTTTTAAAATTCGGTGATGGTGATGGACCAAACCTCTGTAGAGTAAAAAAGTAGATGTATTGTTGTCGATTAAAAAACTGTTCACATATTACTATAGCGTCCATACAAATTCGGAAAGTTGCAACATTCAACTCGGATCGTAAAATAATCAATTAAATTCCAAACAAATCATTCAAATATACAAACAATAGTCATCAATTATTTTTTGACGCATACATATATAGTTATTATTTCATAATATATTTTTTTTTTTTTAATAGTATTTCCCTGGCGCTGGATTTTCGAACATTCCTGGAAAATATGTAAATGTCAAAAAAGGTATCGCCTAACTCAAAGATCATGGAAGATTAAATTCAATTCAGACTTTTTTCTTTAAATTTATCTTAATTTTTTTGGATAGAAAATTTTTAGAGTTTTATTAAAAAACTTAAAAACGTTTTCGGATAATTTTAAATCAATTAATTTCTAGTATTCCTCTGATTGTGTCATGTTCGAGTTACAACAGTACATTTTAACTTTTTCCCAAATCATGGATAAAGTAGAAATCCTATTTTTTCTTTGAAAATTGACAATTTTCAAGCGTGGAATTTTTTTCATAAAAATGACTTGCATTGATCATGATTTAGCGAACAAAATGAAAATCGCACTCTTTAAATCTTTAATCTTTAAATCTTTAAATCTTTAAATCTTTAAATCTTTAAATCTTTAAATCTTTAAATCTTTAAATCTTTAAATCTTTGAATCTTTAAATCTTTGAATCTTTGAATCTTTGAATCTTTGAATCTTTAAATCTTTAATCTTTAAATCTTTAATCTTTAAATCTTTGAATCTTTAAATCTTTGAATCTTTAAATCTTTAATCTTTAAATCTTTAATCTTTAAATCTTTGAATCTTTAAATCTTTGAATCTTTAAATCTTTAATCTTTAAATCTTTAATCTTTAAATCTTTGAATCTTTAAATCTTTGAATCTTTGAATCTTTAAATCTTTTATCTTTAAATCTTTAATCTTTAAATCTTTAATCTTTAATCTTTAAATCTTTGAATCTTTAAATCTTTGAATCTTTGAATCTTTGAATCTTTGAATCTATAAATCTTTAAATCTTTGAATCTTTAAATCTTTAATCTGTAAATCTTTAACCTTTAAATCTTTGAATATTTAATTCTTTAATCATTAAATCTTTGAATCTTTGAATCTTTGAATCTTTGAATCTATAAACCTTTAAATATTTGAATCTTTAAATCTTTAAATCTTTGAATCTTTGAATCTTTGGATCTTTGAATCTTTGAATCTATAAATCTTTAAATCTTTGAATCTTTAAATCTTTAAATCTTTAAATCTTTAAATTGAGGATTACTTGAAATTACGTACCAGTCCCTTTAATAATGAAATGCGGGGAAATATTTGTTGGGGTGGGGGGAGGGCAGACAAAAGAATATATGTAAGGGAGAAAGATGTGTTAAAAAAGGGCAGGGCCAAAAGATGTGGCATATACGTAACCTGGGGGGAGGGGGATTTAAAAAATGGAGTGGGTGGGGTCACGGTAAACAAGAGGCCCTGCTTATTTTAAATATTTATGAAATATGGTCTATCACGCTATCTATGACGGATTTCGAATCATACAGCAAAATATTACTAAAACCAAAGACTTTGCTAATTATAAAGACAAGGCGTTGGAAATTTCTCCGACTATTGTTTACGCCAGTACAGCTGTATTTTGACGTCATTGGTTATTTTGGTTGTTTGAGAGTCGAACGATCGACATTAAAACTTAGATATTTAACACAATTGTGAATGTTTTGTGCTAAAATTTATCTAAAATTAATGATACTAATTTGTATTTTAAAATCTATTTAATCATTTGTTGGATACGAGGATCATCTGGTGAATTATAGCTGAATTTGTGATAAAGTTACGCATCTATTTTGTATCAAAAATAGCTGATAATTCTTTGTGAAAATTTTCAGATGTCGTCAAATATTTTTTCTGAGGTACTATGGAATGGAATTTTAGGGGATGAAGAAGAGAGGGGACCAGAAATGTCCAATATTATAAACGGTAAATAAATTTGGTGTAAATGTCGTCTTCTGTTTAATCTAGGCAAAGAAAAAATATTGCATAAATTAATGTGTTAATCTTATTCTTCAATTGATTTATGGGGATTTTGTTTCAAATATATCCACCATTAAAGAAAAAATATCACAGAAAGTTTCTTTAAAAATGCGAATTAAAGGACGAACTTTTACTTAGAAGTCTTTTAAAATTGATTAAAATAGTTTTGAGTCATTAGTTATTGGAGTATTTTAAAGACGGAAAAAAATAAATACATTGGTGAAAAAAAACTTAAAGAATACGAAGACGACTTATAGACTCAATTTACGATTAAATAGTTTAATGAACGTTAAAATACCTCTTTTGAGCGAACAAGTAGATTGTCTAATTATGAATTATGTCATCTGCAAATTCCATAGTTTTATGTAAACAAATTCTTTGAATAATTCTGATAAATTCAGGTCCTTCAGTGCCAATCAAAGCTCCAACATGTATAATACAGAGCTGCAATCCAAGAGTAGGAGGATCACGGTTTAGATTTCCAGCAAATCCCAAAAGAAAAAAATTGTGGCTGAAGGCCCTTCATTTAAATCAAGAGTATATCACAGTAAAAGATCCAAGAGTATGTGAAAAACATTTCAAACCCTCTGATTTTAAAAGTAATTTATAGTATAATAAATATTACGACGTTAATTTTGTAATTCATTTAAATCAGGTAGAGAGAGAATTCCTTCTTAAATGAAAAAAATGAGATAATTAATTACTGTTAAAAAGTACAAGGTTACAATTGCATAAAAGATATAAGACTTGATTGATGTATGGTTGAAATTTAAATACCAAGATCTTATAGGTTATTTTTTTTTATAAACAATTAATACTTCAAACCAAAAGTAAATGTTCTCAGGGACTGATTATATTTGTAATTTCAAGTTACCAAAACATTAAAGGTTCTAAAAACAACGGTACTTTTATGGACTAGGGACAAATTAAATATTTCAAGATAGAAAAACTAAAATGGTTTCCTTGTTTTCCTTTTAAATAACTATTTAATTCATTACAAAAGACGACATTATGAAACGTCAACAGGGTAAATATATACCGGATTTCTGGAGAAGACGACATTACTTACTATCTATGGTAACCCGAGAAAATGCGTCAAATTTGCGTAGATTTTCTGATGCGCTATCTTTAATTAGCAAAGTCTTTGACTAAAACTATTTAAAAACAGACGTACAGGATGCACTTTGTAGTAGTTAGTTGTACGCAAGAAATATAGTTCCTTGGTTGTACGTAAAGTGATAAAAGGGAGGGGGGGGGGTAGATGACCGTTGAAACGAGGAGAGAAACGTAGCTAGGGTTTCCAGCGAAAGAAAGCTTTCGCAAAAAAATGCGGAAAATTTTATTTTGTATTTCGCAAAGCTTTTTGGCGAAATTTCCACATTTTTTCTATGAAAGGAATGCAAAAGAATGCGATATTTTCGGCGAAACAAAAAGTTTTCGTTAAAAATTTTCTCGATACGTTTCCATTTGGCTGGAAAGCCTAGGTTCGTAGCTGACAGAAAAGAGATAATTATGATTTATAAAAACTTTCTAATTGTTTTTCTTCTGACGTAGAATAATTATCAACCAGACATGTCAGACAGTTTAGTATTGGTAAAGTAAATAAAATTAAACCTAACACACATTAGTTTAAAACCTAGGTGCAGGGGGGTTGGTTGTAATCTACAGTAACCACGGGCGTATTCAGAAATTTGTCCAGGGGGGGGGCTTATTTTTTATCTTTCTAGGGGGGGGGCTCCGGACCCGTTGGGGCCCGAAAACCCCATGAAATCAATAGATTTCACTGGTCCAGGGGGGGCTGAGCCCCCGTAGCCCCACCCCTGAATACGCCCCTGACAGTAACCCTGGGCCTACAGTTTAAGATTTACAACGGTATCCTGTCAGACAAGACATTCTCTTGATTTCCATTTACAGAATTTAATGAATTTGAGCCGTGTCTCAAATCCGCTAAGAATCGGTTTCAATTGAGCGCCGGCTTAAATCTTGAAACGTATATACAACTTTAAGTGGAACCAACCATTTTTGAGCCGCGTCTCAAATTTAAGCCGTAGCTCAATTTTTTTAATTCGGCCACCGATTTTACAGAGAACCAACAATTGAAAATAAACAATGTTTTAAAGTTCAAACTAAAGTTATTTTATTGAACTTTTAGTTTTCAATCATAGCTCCTTTTTCTGAAGAACTATCGGGAAGTGAACAAATATAATTTCTAAAAAAAAATAGATTTTATTCTCGAGCTGGGACTTAGTTTAAAACTAGAAGATCGCTTCAAGGTCACAACTCAGTACTCACAAAGTGTACCAGTAATTTAAAAAAAAATATAAAATTTTTGTTATGCTGAAAAAAGCTTATATCTAGAAAAGTTGAATACAGGAAAATACTTCATGGTGACCTAAAACTCTAAAAATTAAACAATTTAATCAAATTTTGTATTGTTTCTTTCATTTTGTTTTTGAAAAATATGGTATACAATTTTGCAAAGAAAAAAAAAACAAAGGTATTTAGTTTTTGCCGCACAAATACATTTTTTTAATCGCTAAATCGTTCAATCCGATTTAACCTTTGATATTTCAAACTTACACAATTAGATTTACTGAATTTATAGTTTGAATTAACCAAGGTCTACAAAATCAGGTTGTCCAGATAGAGAGATTAGAAATTTAGAGTTTGTTGTAAAAACTCAATTTCTTTTAAAGTAAATTCCGTCTCTGAAGTCTCATCCTTTGTGTTAACATATAAAGTGTTATTTTCTTCTGATGTTCCTCGATACAAAAGTGACTTGCGCATTTCAGCTGCAGAACAACATACTGGAATTGTCAGAATTAAAACCTAGAAAATTGACAGTAGTTTTCATATTACTTATCAGATAAAGGTTTAAAGGGTTCTGTTGTAAATCGGACATTGCCATCTTTGCATGAAGGGTCGATCACTTGAAATAACGCTTACAGTGCCCTTCAAACGTCAAATATGTGAAAAATTTAAAAATATCTTTAAAGATATTTTAAAGATATTTTTGAGGTTCATGCCATGGTCAGAATTAGAATCAGAATTAAAGATATTAAAATGGATGAACATTCTTTTCAAGGAATTAAGTCTTTGTCTCAAACTCTGATTTTTTAATCTCGTTCTTTGTCGTAGACCTTAGATATTTCAAACTATGAATTCTTTTGAATCAAGTGATCTTAGTTTAAAATATGAAAGGTGTACACCATCAGGTTGCATTGATGTAGGAATCAGAAAATTTGAGTTTGAGGAAAAAACTCCTTTAGATAAACTATGCCTGGTAAATCTAGAGGAGTGGGAGAGAATGAGAAGATAGTTCTGCTCTTCAACAAATATACAAAGGAACGCATGTGCTCAGAATATCCTTTTTTCTTTTCTAAACCTAAAAAAACAGCTTGGGAACCCATCATGGCCAAGGGGATTTATAGTAAGTCCCACCGTTTGCCCGCCCTTTGTCGTAAATTACGATTTTAGTTTTTTTTTCTCCGTCAAAAGTGGACCTACTCAACTTAGAATCTCAAAACCAAGCTAAGAATATTCCCGTGAGTCTCCCGAGTTCCCCGATCAAAGTTAAGGCAAATCAGTCCAGGGGCGTCTGAGTTATGAGCGGACAAAAGTGTTCTCCTGGGGGTGGATTTGCTTTGTTGTCCCAGCAGAGGAATATCTAGAATATTGATCAGAGAAAGGGGACACTCTGGAGGATCGGTTATCCAAAAATGCTTTTTTTAGACAATGCAAAAACCAAACAGAACCCTTAAACATGATTCAGAACGTATTTCAAAACGATTTTATGAACTTTAATGGTAGTTTAATGGGGTTAAGAAGGGAAAAATGAATATTTGAAGGGTTATGACATGTCCAAGCGGGAAAAGACCATAAAGACCCCAAAAATGGTTGAAAATATTGAAAATTGTTGAAACCATATATTAGCAAGGGTTCAAGAAGTATGTTTGCCAGTCAGTCTGCGATGTACCTGTACTTTGTAAACAAAGTTGTAAAGCAAGATTAAAAAATGACAAAAATTTGGACATTTGTCCAAAAGTCTCTGACATAAGCCCCAAAGGGATGACATTGATTATGTATCTCGTTTGTAAATCAAGGCCAGAAAACTCCTCAAAAGTCCTTCATACATTAAATACTTGACCTATCTTTTCTTTGTTCTTAAAGGGTCTGAAACAGACTTTGTTGGATCAAGTTTGGAACCATAATTTTTCTTGCTGTGACGAACGGAGCTGATACACTTCGGGAGAACGCTCATTACAATTACTACAAAGATCTGATTGAGATGAACTGATCTGAAAAATAATCCAGTATGAATATAGTGAACTTAAAAAAAATTTCAGGGCTGAGACTTCTTCCAGTACCTCAAACTTTTTAGCAAAACTTATTGATTACACCTTGTAGATATTGAAAGGAGTATATTTGCAATCCTGAAAATTTATAACACTGCATGATTCAATTGATGCTTGTGATAAAAGAAAACTGTGTGCACTTAAAATCAATAACAATTAGATTATACCCTGCAAGCCAATTTACGTAACTTAAGTGTAAATATATTTTGTATATGAAATGAAATTACAATATTTTTATAAAGTCAAGATTTTTTCAATACTTTCAAATCTAAAGAGTTAAACTCCTTAATTTAAAAGTTTCATGTTGCTTTGGAGTTAAAGTACTGAAACTTAATCCCTATTTATTTATAGGTTTTGAATTCTATATGCTATGTAATGATTGCATCAATGTTTTAACGCTAGATGTTTTGTATATTTCTGCTGAGTTGTATCCTTTTCTGGAAATGTGATCATCTTGTGACAAAGTATATGTCATCTCCCACAGCATCTCAGGAGAACCTGGTTTTTATTCAAGGTAGGTTTACTCTTACAAGATATTGCTGTGTTCGATCAAAAACTCTGATAGAATTTAAAGTGGAAATATTACAATGCACTGTCTCTTAGTAGGTGGATAAAATGTGTAAAAAGCAAAAAATACACTTCTTACTTCTTACTTGGTTCACTAAATGGGCTCTTAGATAGAATCTTTTAAAACTTTGATAAAATCTAAAACTTTTGGAAAAATCTAACAAAGTGCTAAAATATTCAAGAGAATGAATCATGAATATGCCTTTTTGAGGAATTTATTTTTTATCTGAAACTTTGTAACTGGGATGGTTTTTCTTTTGTTCAAATTACAAAAATTGTCAGGCTTATCATAAAGGTTGGCTAAAAACAATTAAAAAAAACAAATATCAAGTAAATTTTCCTTTGCATTTATTTAAAAGTTTTCCTTCCACATTTGTCAGAGGATAATTAATTTCTTTAGTTTTTTTATCTTAATATAGAAAAAAAACTTCAATTATTTCTAATGATTTTTGTTGAACTATTTTTTTTCAGATGCTATTCCAAATCTTAGGATTTCAATTTGCAGAGAGTTCCTTGTTTCTCAATGTAAAAACAAAACTGTTTCCAATGTGAGTTAATTCTAACTTTATTTAATCAAAGTATCTATTCTAAACACAGATTTACAGCCCTGGCTGTACATATCAATATAGGACTTTATTCATGCATGAATATGTTTTAACAAGACCTTCAGGCTTAAATGTATTACTAATTCAAAATTGATGTATTATGAGTATTTTGTATTACATTACCAATCCCTTCTTAGGAGCTTGTATGTGTTTGGAGTAGCAGCAGTATCCCCAGCTATACCTTAAATGGGTCTGAAACCTTGATTGAGTTTTTAAACATGTCAGACACTAAATATCTTGTGTCTGATCTTGTGGAGAGTATTGATGTAATGGATAAGAACAGTTCAACCTGGAGAACAGCGTATTCACATAAAATTGCTACGAACAACTCAGATTTCAGGTCAACTATCAATTACTACTAAAATAAACAGAGGTTAAAACTTTTGGTTGGGATAACACTATAGCCACATTGACTAAAATGGTTATTCACTGTGTAAACTTTTAAATTGAAGGATTAAAAGAGATATAGTGGCTGAGATCTAAAACACAAAGGTGTTGACCTCTGTGTTATCAAAAAATCAATGATTATCTTCAGAATAATCCTTGAAAACTTACTTTTCAGAACTGAAATGTTTCCCTTCGAGGACCAATCAACCCTGCTTTGCCACACTTGGAACCAGAATATCTCCTCACTGTCAAATTTTAGAGTGAAACCATTTTCAGAAATTGGTACAAATAAATCATAAATAACAATGCTAAGAACAAGGATTTAGTTATAGTTATTTGTGAACCTGAAATGTTAATTCTATTCATTTCATTCGAATGAACAACTGAAGAGGTTTATCAATTATAAGTAACTTTAGTTGGGAAATTTTTTTTATGAGTTGTTTAGTCTGAATATTTTTAATTTCTTTTTTTCCAGGTAATGTCTTGATATATTTTCACAATTCTGGTGAATTTCTGCGCAAGAAACTTCGAAGTGAAATGAATACTTTTCCCAGTATCAATTACATAATGCAAGTTGAGCTTGAAATCTCCATCAGTAAGATGTTATCAATGGAGGAAATAAAATGTGGAAAAGAGACTTACTCTTATGATTCTTGCATCCTAAACAGCAATCTTGAAACAATGGAAGAAAAATGCATCCCCCCATTTGCTGTACTCAACCAAACTGGCGTTGAATCTTTGTGCACCAATTTTACAGATGGGGAGGAGGCTTTAACTGTCTTTCAAAAATCCCCTAAAACCTGTAAACCATCCTGCTTTGAAACAGTGGTAAAGTTAAATATGGTCCCAGTTGATGTACTTTTCCCAACCCTTAATCCTAACTCTCCATCCAGTACATCTTTTACTGGATATCTATTTCGAGTCCCAACCAAAGTTGTATCTTCCACGATATTTGGGACTTACACGATTGTTACTTTAATTGCGGAGTTTGGTGGGTGGATGGGATTACTCTTAGGCTTATCTCTTCTTGGAGTTATGAACCACTGGTGGGATAAGTGTAGTGATGAGTTGGAATTTTCTAAGGTTTTGAAAATAACTCCAAAATTACTTATCTATTTAGTATCTCTGGTTTTCATTGGATTGGTTTTTGGCAGAGCATTGCTGCGAATGCTTTATAAAGAAACTGGATTGGATGTTAACATTGAGGAGACCATCTCTGATTTAAGTATATCATTTTGCTCTATGGAGAGTGTTTATTTGAACCAAACATCAAAGGACGGTAAATCTGAGTTAGTATATGTTGGTAACTCATCATCAATCTGGAACAATGACATGAAACTAAGAAGTAAGATTGAATTTATCACTGCTGAACTGAGAAATGGAACCATCATAAACATCTACAAGGAGCGATCCAATATGTCACAGTACATTCTCTACTCAACAAATATCCCAAGGCTCATCAACTATTTTGAGAATTGTCATACTCTTGACTTACAATTTGAAGTACCTGTTAAGAAATTAAGTTTGGTGGCCCAAAAAGAGTTCACTATATATGTACACAAAACTGGGCAACTGCTAAATATGGATTTCAGGCATGGTTTTAATTACGTCAACAGCCAATCCATGCAAACAAGGATAGGCCGTGTCTTTGTGTACAGTACAAGACTAAAATTGAGCATTGAGCTGTTAAGCCTAGGTGCAGTACAGTATAATGCTTATTCCTTAAATTCCACTTTTGATGACTGTGTTTTGGATACCATGTCAAAAGAAGAAGAAACAGAAGCATTCAAACCAACTTCTGTCTTGAAATTGAATGAGTTGAGATTGAATGATGTTAACCTTACTGAGTTTGAATTCATTAAACTTAGGAATGGGTTTCAGCAAGGAGATATCTACTCCTTTTGTGACTATCCGTCTGAAATTGCTAAGATCAGTTATGCTCCAGAAGTTGAAGATAGTATTTTTCATCAGGAATTAATCAACAGACTGCCAACTCCATCCAAAGGTAAAACCATCAAAACTAATCAATCAACAAATAAATCAAATAAAAGAAAAATTTGCTTTTTGTTTTAAATAAATTTAATTATAATTTAGCACATCAAACTCAGAGAAATGAAATTGAGGTTTCCTTCCCTGAAATTTTGATTGTGAGCAAGGTGACCTTTATGCATAAATACTAAAATTAGATGCCAAGATTTGATTTTTTTTTGTTATTTAGATCCAATATAATTTCATTTTACATGAAACTTACAGACAATTCTTCCTACTCTAAAGCATTGTCTAGCATTACATGAGATTACATTTATTTTGTGAAATTTGCCTTTGTTCCTTAGTTTTGTTCAGTACATATGTATATTTTATCACAAGTGTCTCCTGTCTTGAGGGGAGGGGGTAGGTGTGTATAAAATGTTGCTGCATTTTGCATTTGGATTTTATCACAATTCCCATTTGTGTATGTGTTTTTTAACCAAAAATGTCTTACAAGGGATTATATTTAATGATAAGCAAGAATGAGTTGAACCACAAAGACATAGGTCAAATATTTTTTTGGCAGTGATTCAAGCTAAAGAGAAGCAGTTGAACTATGTCCACATGGTTTAACTATGTCACGGTATTTATTAAATCTGGTTCTATAGGCTTATTTTACCTCGGACACTATTACTCTGTTTGCTGAAGTTAGCGGTTGGGTTGGGCTTATCCTAGGATACAGGTTTATCAACTTAATCATTATTAGAAGAATAACAGAAGAAAGCTGAGCTAATCAAATTTTATGATTAAAGGGATGGTAATTTCAAGTGACCCCCCTTTGAAAAGTGGTGTGTCCGATTTACATGACTTCTCTTTAAACCTTTGACTGATCAAGGATGACAGACTTACTCTTATTTATCTACAGAAAGGCTTATCATTGTAGATAACTTTGTTTGCAAACTGGGTTGAATTAAAAAAATAATATATTTACTTTCTAGAAGACCTAAAAATAGATATTTACATTCAAATTTTTGATAACCAGGTTATTCATAGACTAATTGAGTTCACACTATTAAATGTATATGTTAATTTACACTCCAGTTCTCTGGCAATTTGAACACCATTTCAGAGATAATTAGTTAAAGCTGTACCATTGTAAATTAGGCTTTCCACTCTTTGCATGGGGGCCCAGGGGTCACTTGCATGGGGGCCCAGGGTTCACTTGCATGGGGGCCCAGGGGTCACTTGCAATTCTTGATATAGTCCCTTAAATATGGATTTCATGCACTCTTGAGACTTGTTGATTGTTTAAAGCCCTATTTTGAGCTTTTTGAGAATTTTTTTTTATAAAGATATTTTTAAGTATCTGAACTTAGAGATGGGCACATTCAACTTTTTTTCAGTTTGTTTGTTTATCTTTTGTGAACAACCCACTTTATTAATTTTTTTTCCATTGTTCAAAAAAAATTATTTTGTTTATTCTCAAAATTTATCTTTCATTTTGCATCTTTTTTATCACTGAACGATTGTACAGTAAAATCGTTTGTTCAAGAAAATCGATGTTATAATGAGTTTTAAATTGTTTTTTAGTTTATTATAAAAAATTGATAATTTCTCTGATAAATCCATTTTGTTCATCCATACTTTGGTTTTTTTCACAAAAAATTTAGTTTGTTCTCAAAAATTTTGTTTGTTCAAAAAACGATGCCCATCTCTATACTGATGTCCAGACTAATTGATGTTTTAAGCTTACTGAACGTGGGTCAACTGCTACAAGATGTTCTGTTGAAGCTGAGTAGGAAACTATCTAGATTTATCTATTGGATTGTTTTCCTAATCCTCTCACTTGGTATGCTTTACGTTGTTGCAACATCAATAGAAAAGGTTAGGGCCGGATTTCAACAATCTGAAAGAAACTGTTCTTGTAATTTCAAGAAACCCTCTATATTTAAAAATATTTTTTTTCTGAGATAATGGTGGATATAACTTTTTCATCTAAAATTGTATTGTTTTCAATTGTGTTTATCTTTAAGAATAAAAGTCACTGTCAACCTGCTTCCTACAGTAAGGCAGAGTGAGAAAGGTTAAATGTTAGGAAGCACCACATTTACGTGGTTTGTGAAGGTAGATTCCTCCTCCTGCGTCCATGTTTCTCTCTTATTTTCTTGAACTTGCAGGGAATAATATAAAAATGCTAAAATAGAGGTGAAACTTAAAATTACCCCAACAGTTCCTTCAAGCTGAAAAACTGAATTTTTGAATTTTAGAATAATTTGATAATTCTGAATAGGTGAAAGGTAATCTGACTGGTGCAAATATAGGATTCCATGATTATGACGAGATTGTAAATCTTTCTGTCACGGCCTGCCGGAAAATGACTCTCGGGGATGAGGGGGATAGAGTCAGTTCATTGATCTCTGTTGAGCAGAAACTCCAAAGCCAAGACTGGAAAATCCTATACGAAGCCAATAAGAATGAGACTGCAGGGCACAACTCTACTTGGATTGATAAGGGGTATCGGATCTGCAAAACTTTCATCTTAAAGGGGAGATTGTTCACAAGCTAAACTTTGATATAAAAGCATTTTTTTGCTAAAGTAATGCCAACCTTATTAAATTTTTAATCAATACTTGTTATCCCATTTTCTGTTAAGTTGAATCAGTAAAATTAAGATGTTGACATTTTTCTTTTCTAGGAAAGGTATTTTGATTACCCTCACTTGATGTAAATAATTGATTTCACTTTAGCAAAAATGCTTTTTTCCTGCATTTTAGAATTCAAAGCACAAATCAACAGCTTGCAAAGTGTCCAAATGATCCTACCCTTGCAGATCCAAGCAACCATGCTTAGGGCTCTTAGCAGGGTTTGTAAAACGCCAGCCAACAGACTGATTGATTGGCAAGTTTATGATTCAAATTATAAAACAGTTCTTGAACTATTCTCATACTTGTGAACAAGTTGAAAACAATGAAATAATTTTCTCTTCCATAACTTTCTATCCCTTTCTGTGAATTAATTAAATTATCAAGGATTCTTACTTGTTAACAACTTTAGCTGTTATCAAGTTATATTAATTCTGGTAAAAAACCATTTAGCTGTGAACTGTCCCTTCCAGGGTGAAGAAGTCCGTTTATCCTTCAAGCAAGCTGAGATGCAGTTTGAAATATTTGTTCATCAAACTGGTTTGTTCAGCTCCGGACTTGAGGTTATGGTGTCCAGGGATTGGATAAACTATGATACCGTAGCACTGATCAATGCTAAACAATTGACCCAGATTGCCAATGATAGTTTATGCTCCGATCAAAAATTGTTTGATCAATGTAAAGAGAAATATCTTCTAGGTGTTGTAAATGATACTATAGGTTGCACCCCCAGGTATAATTTCAGTGTTCTGCTAAACATGAAAAATTCTTGACAAAAAGAAAATAGTCTGGTGTTCATGATTCTAGTTTTAACATGTATTAAGCCCCTTTTCCATTGTAATATCTTTTAAATGTGGCTTTTAGATGAACTATGATACTGCAGCACTGCTCAATGCTAATAAATTAACCCAGATTGCCAACGACAGTTTATGAAAATATGAAAACATAAAAAATTCTTGACAAGCAGAAAATAATGACATGACATCATCTAATAGGCCCTTTTCTGAAGTATTAATCTTATCTTTTCACTGTGGCTTTTCAACTCAACTCTGTACTCAACAAAAAACAATAATTCTTGCGTATTTTTTTGTTTAAATTATGTAAATTTTTAAAAATAAGAACTGGCAACATTTTTAAAACAAAATTTTTCAATTCTGACTTCATTAACGATGACACGCTAAAGCAGTTTTCGTTTAGGAATTCAAGTATATACGTCGGATGCAATAGTTTTGAAATGAAACAGAAGTCCTATGTAGAGTTTGGGAAAGCTACGAATGATGATTTTAAGACTGGAGAAGATACATGTCTCCTACCCTGCACAATCAGCCTCATTCAGCTCACCCTATTTTCACAAAGGAAACCAGTAAGTATATTTAAAAACCATAAAACCCAGCATGGTTGATTGATTATTTGAGGGCAAACAAATATTCCCTGAAAGAATATAATTTTAGTGGTTAAATAAGAACTAAATAGCAGAGTCTTGACTATATCTCAACTGCTACCTATAAGCTTTTCTTGTGCTGCTTTGATTGAAAAGATTGTGTCTTAAAAAGGGTCTATTTCAAGCCGACAAAGAAAGCAGTACTCTCTCGGGCTCTACTAGTTCACTAAATGTAGATGCTAGGCAACCAAGGAGGTTATAGTATATATAGATCGAGTGATGATGTACGCTAATTCTTTACTTATTGTAAAGGCCATGTATTCCACTTACAAAGGTTAATCTGTATATTACAGTACTCGGGGTGATTTCTAAAAATATTTATTTACATTTAAGCAGAAATAAGTTTTCAATCCAAAAACTTAATAAACCCGTAGAGTGTAGACATAATTTTAACTTTTCCGTTAAATAGAGAAATAGAGTTCACAATGGTGCCCTTAAAGCTCTGTTTGATTCAAAGGCACAAGATAATTTTCTCTTTAGAGGTAGATTATTTTAATTGTAATTTCTCTGGAAAGTGACCTGCGGAGTTTGCTAATGAAACAATGGGGGAAATTATCAGAATTTAGCATTGTTCTTTAAAAACTTGTTTCAGAAATCTGCTTGGGGTCCGAAGAATCTAATTCTAAGAATCCCGAGGAAAATTATGACTATTAGGTAGGGGCATATATTTTTAAAGAAATAATACTTATTGATATAACTCCATAGCTCATTAAAATCTGTAAATTTTTTCAATGTAAAATTGTAAAATTATTTCAAATGTTTTAAATATGTATGAAAAAACGTAAAAAAATTAAGAACTTTTTGTTTCTAATTAAACATAATTTTTCCATTTAATCGTTGATTGTTCATAAAAAATTAGACAAAATAAAAACACGAGTAAAACCATAGATTAATGAACAATAACAGATAGGATACTATAAGTAATCCTTTCAAAATTTAGGGGTTTTTCGTTCATTATAATCCTGAGTCAGAAGCCCAAAGGAGTTCCACGCAGGCAGCTTTGACTTACAAGACAGAGTGAGAGAGCATGCAGTATGCACACCAAGTGAGGAACTCATTTTGGCAACGGCCTCAGGGTTTTTGTGAACGAAAAACCCAAAAATCTTAAAAAGACGACATCTATAGTGTCCTATCTGTTATCGTTAATTAATCTATGATTAAAACCAAGGAGTGGATTTATCTACACAGTTTGGGAGTTTGCAGCAGAGTTCGGGGGCTGGAGTGGAGTGCTTCTAGGAAATGGAGTATTTTATTAACAACTATAGCTTTAGTAACTTTATATATATAAACTAGCTTGGGAACCCAGCTTTTTCTTGAAACTAGATTTTTCCCATAAAAGTAGTCCTACCCTATAAAGATTCGTTTTCAAATGCGTATTTGGCGTAACAAATCTTTATTTTGGTAAAATTAACAGTCATGTTACAGTGGTTCCCATAATACTTTTAAATCACACGAATTCATTTACCTTAAAAAGTTTATTTTAGTAAAACTATTTACTTTAAAACAACATCCAGTTTACTTAAAGATTGTTCTTTCTATTCCAGAGTTTTTCATTTTTTTCTAAATACGCCCATTTTTCTTCTTCAAGGATTCAGCAGTCTAGATCTATTGGAGGCGTTCCTGTTATTATCTACATATTTATCACAGATCATTTATCAATTTTGATCAATTCTATGGATCAATTGTTCATGCAATTATCTACATATTTATCACAGATTATTTGTAAATTTTGATCAATTCTATAGATCAATTGTTCCTGATATTATCTACCTATTTATCACAGATCATTTATCAATTTTGATCAATTTTATGGATCAATTGTTCATGCAATTATCTACTTATTTATCACAGATCATTTATCAATTTCGATCAATTCTATGGATTAATTTTTCATGCAATTATCTACATATTTACTACAGATAATTTGTAAATTTTGATCAATTCTATAGATCAATTGTTCCTGCAATTATCTACTTATTTATCACAGATCTTTTATCAATTTTGATCAATTCTATACGCTGCGGCCATGGGTTAGGTTAAGTGTTGACACTTTCTGGGCCGAGCGCTGCGGCTAGATTAAATATAAATTGTGAAACATTTTTTTTAATTTGATATTATGGAGTTTGTATTTCAGAATTTTTTATTTTCAGGAGTTTGTCTCGTCAGGAGTTTGTCTCGTCAGGAGTTTGTCTCGTCAGGAGTTTGTCTTTCAGGAGTTTGTCTTTTCAGGAGTTTGTCTTTCCGGAGTTTGTCTTTCAGGAGTTTGTCTTTCAGGAGTTTGTCACGGCGCCCAATTGTTCATGCAATTATCTACTTATTTATCACAGATCATTTATCAATTTTGATCAATTCTATGGATCAATTGTTCATGCAATTATTTACATATTTATCACAGATCATTTGTAAATTTCGATCAATTCTATAGATCAATTGTTCCTACTATAATCTACTTATTTTTCACTGATCATTTATGAATTTTGATCAATTCTATGGATCAATTGTTCATGCAATTATTTACATATTTATCACAGATCATTTATCAATTTTGATCAATTCTATAGATCAATTGTTCCTACTATAATCTACCTATTTGTCACAGATCATCTATGAATTTTGATTAATTTTATAGATCAATTGTTCCTGCAACTATCTACTTATTTGTAACAGATCATTTATGAATTTTGATCAATTCTATAGATCAATTGTTCCTGCAATTATCTGCTTATTTGTCACGGATCATTTATCAATTTTGATATATTCTATAGATCAATTGTTCCTGCAATTATTTACTTATTTGTCACGGATCAATTATCAATTTTGATTAATTCTATAGATCAATTGATTTCCCTAAAACCGATTTTGGTAATTAAGTGGACTGTCGACAATATTTCAAGTGACCCTCCATTTAAAAATTTTCATTCCTGATTCACAACGGTTCCATTTTTCCTGAATCTGAGCAACCAAACAATTTAAAAAGTTGGATGCCCGAACCTTAATCGGAGCAACATTGAGGAAGATACAGGGTGTCCCAAAAAACATGGGAATTCAGTGACGAATTCGATATCGTCTTTGTTATGAATTAGCATTGTAATACCTAATTTCAAAAGCCATAGTATTATTATGTCTGCTAGAGTTTATTTAATGAAAAGGGTAAAAGACTGCAAAGATGTTTCTATAATGTCTCCGCAAGATGAACAGTGAATACGGACAAGTTTACTGTTTACAAGGTTACTGTTTGTATACTGTAATTTTCTTGTTTTACTAAGTACAGGGTGTCCCAAAAAACATGGGAATTCAGTGACGAATTCGATATCGTCTTTTCAAATAATTCTTAGATTTAGTATAGTGATACCTACTGAGAAAGCTGTAATCTGTAAGAGTTTCGTCTGCTATGTTTACATTTTGTTTGTTTATGTTTTGACTGCAACCGGTTGTACTTAGTAAAACAAGAAAATTACATTATACAAACAGAGTAAACTTGTCCGTATTCACTGTTCATCTTGCGGAGACATTATAGACACATCTTTGTAGTCTTTTACCCTTTTCATAAAATAAACTCTAGCAGACATAATAATATTATGGCTTTTGAAATTAGGTATTACAATGCTAATTCATAACAAAGACGATATCGAATTCGTCACTGAATTCCCATGTTTTTTGGGACACCCTGTATTATCGGTATTTATTCATCTGGAAAAGTGAGAATTTACCCCTTATTGTTTATGCTGGGTAAATCCGCAACTCACCTCTTTTGAGAAACCATGTTTTTAATTTTGATCAGACAAAAGTTTAAAGGGTATTTTTAGGCATTTGATTTTTTGAGTGTTACAATAAAATTACGTCGACAGTCCCTTTAAACTCGTAATACCACACACCAAAAATTGAAACAGTCCCTTTAAACTCATAATACCACACCAAATATTGAAACAGTCCCTTTAAACTCGTAATACCTCACACCAATTATTAAAACAGTCCATTTGAACCCTTAAAACCACACACCAAATATTGAAACAGTCCCTTTAAACTCGTAATACCACATACCAAATATTAAAACAGTCCCTTTAAACTCGTAATACCACACACCAAATATTGAAACAGTCCCTTTAAGCTCGTATTACCACGTACACACCAAATATTGAAACAGTCCCTTTAAACTCGTAAAAAAACTCGTAATACCACACACCAAATATTGAAACAGTCCCGTTAAACTCGTAATACCACACACCAAATATTGAAACAGTTCCTTTAAACTCGTAATACCACACACCAAATATTGAAACAGTCCCTTTAAGCTCGTAATATAACACACCAAATATTGAAATAGTCCCTTTAAACTCGTAATACCACACACCAAATATTGAAACAGTCCCTTTAAACTCGTAATACCACACACCAAATATTGAAACAGTCCCTTTAAACTCGTATAATAACACACACCAAATATTGAAACAGTCCCTTTAAACCCGTAATACCACACATCAAATATTGAAACAGTCCCTTTAAACTCGTAATACCACACACCAAATATTGAAACAGTCCCTTTAAACTCGTAAAACCACGTACACACCAAATATTGAAACAGTCCCTTTAAACTCGTAATACCACACACCAAATATTTAAACAGTCCCTTTAAACTTGTAACACCACGCACACAGCAAATATCGAATTATGTTTTATATATAATTATCAAGCAATTATACACTTTAAGTGAGATGTGTACAGAAATGTACAATTATATATTGTTTGTTTATATATTTACAAGCACATTTTTATCCTTTCTTGTCAAAATATCTTTTTATGTAAAATTCAATTTAAATAAATGTTTTGCCTTTAAAGATTATGTAGAGACTAGAGACTATAGTTTATTTAAAGCATTATAATTGAAATTGTTATAGTTTTATTTTTAGTTGTGCTAATGCATGATTTGGCAAATAATGTAAACAATTTAAACAGTTTAAAGATATAAGCGATATTATACTATACTTTATCATAATATACTTTACTATATACATAAAATATTAAAACAAACCACTTTTCAAAATTAAAATTGTTGTAATTAGTCGGTATATGATATAAAAGATGCATGGATTATAAAAAAGGATGGTTTGATAACATGGTCAGGGGGGGGCGGGTGATAGAGATCAAAAAGAGGATGAAGTGCAGAATAATAGGCGCTAAAAGGGAGGGATAGGCAGTGCATGTGACCAGTGCTTAGGATCCATTTCATTTTGATCCTGGATCCTGGATCCTGTATCCTGGATCCTGTATCCTGGATCCTGTATCCTGGATCCTGTATCCTGGATCCTGTATCCTGGATCCTGTATCCTGGATCCTGTATCCTGGATCCTGTATCCTGGATCCTGTATCCTGGATCCTGTATCCTGGATCCTGTATCCTGGATCCGCTCCAAGTCATGAATATTTCTTTAAAATTTACTACTTTTATTTTACACAAGAAGAAATTTTTAATTAGTTTTCTGTTTTTCTTTGCTTAAAACAGAATTTAATTATTTAAGCTTTTCTGAAAGTATGCATTTTACAGGCAAAACCCCCTGTCATTTTAAAATTAAAATAATGAACAATGTATAAAGAAATTTTACAAAAAAAGTTATCTGTTCGGTACAGCAACAAGATGTTGTTGACCTTTCATATTTCAAACTATGAATTCTGGTCGATAGAATAACCTTTGTTTTAAAATATGGAAGGTTTGAACAATCAGGTTGCAGAGATATATCAGAATATTTAAGTTTCTGTCAAGAACTATAACGTGTAAAGTAAACCAAACTCTTGATTGGATTAACGTGTTAAATATCCCAAAGTCTACAGCAGAGAAAAATAGATTTTTCGACTTGTAAGATATAAGAAGGTGTATAAAGATTGTAAACGGGCCTGTTTTTTGTGTTAAAATCAAAATCTAATAAATGTTTCTTGGCCATTTTGGATTTGTCAATTTGTGCAATGGAACCCTAAACTCTGGGAAAGGAAGACGACATTTAAAACATTTTACAAATGCAATTGGTGTTAATATAAAGCAAAGTATTTACTAATAGCATAGAAATAAACTTATTCAGTGGGGGTCTGTTTACACTGTACTGTGTTTTCATGTTCAATTGACTATTCGAAATCATAACATCAGTTGGCAAGGTTCATGATCTAGGCTGACAAATTTAGAAATGTAAAAATATTTCATTAATTGGAAAATGCTTGTTATATTTATTAATCAATAAATGTTTATGAATCTTTGGAATGGAAAAGAATAAAAAATAATTTTTTGATCGATTTGTTGCCAAACTTTAGTTTAATAATTTTTTTAAGACAAGAATCCTGAAAACATTTTTAGCGTGGTTTGCTAACTATATATAACTCATATTTTTGACTCGCCTTGTATGTCATTTAAATTACAACATAAAAAGAATTTGAATTTCTAATACCTTTATCTTTGCAGTTATAGACTTTTGATATTTCAAACTATTAATTCTAATAGATGAGAAAGTCTGAATTTAAAATGTCAAAATTTTACAGCAGCAGGTTGTAAAGATATAGGGATTATACTGTTTAGAGTTTTTGACCATGTGTAGTCATGACTTTGCTATTACATTTTTATAATTTCGGAAGAAAATCCAGCCGAGGGTTAGTTTTTATCGGAGAAAAGTAAAAGTGAAATCATTCAAAACTATTGTTCCCAAGGGCGTATACAGAAATAAATTTAGGGGGGGGGGTGAAAATTTCGCGAAGCGGAAAGATTTTTTCCCCTTTTCCCCCCTAGGAGCTCCTTGGGGGGGGGGGGGGCAAAATTTGAATTGTAAATTAAAAACATTTGGCTTCTTGGATATCAGGCATAAGCATAAGATACTTTATAGGTACACATACTACTGTCTGTTTTTAGAGAGACCCCACCCCCACCCTTGAAGCTGAATCTGATTGGCAACTACCCTTCCTACCCCAACTACCGTCTGTTTTTAAAGAGACCCCATCCCCACTCTTACCATGTGTTTATTCTATGTGCATGGTATACAATATGGGTATCGATTCTCATTAAATCAATTGTTTTAAGCTTGTTTCTGGCATTCATAACACTCTCCGACCTTTACTATCCTTACCACCCACCTTCTGAAGGGTGAACATTTCGTAGTCCAGAAACGGGGATGATTTTATACGTTCACCGCCAAACGCCCCACCCCATGAAGTTTTTTTTTGTCCTAGCACTCTCATTTTTGACACTATTACCGTGAAATTTTATTACCTTATCTATGGAGGAAAGAAAGATAGAAACCTTATCCTTGGAGGAAAGAAAGAGATGGGAACCATCCATGGAGGAAAGAAAGATAGAAACCTTATCCATGGAGGAAAGAAAGATAGAAACCTTATCTAAGGAGGAAAGAAAGAGGAACCTTATCCATGGAGGAAAGAAAGATAGAAACCTTATCCATGGAGGAAAGAAAGAAATAGGAACCTTATCCATGGAGGAAAGAAATATAGAAACCTTATCCATGGAGGAAAGAAAGATAGAAACCTTATCCATGGAGGAAAGAAAGAGATAGGAACCTTATCCATGGAGGAAAGAAAGAGGAACCTTATCCATGGAGGAAAGAAAGGAATAGGAACATTATCCATGGAGGAAAGAAAGATAGAAACCTTATCCATGGAGGAAAGAAAGAGATGGGAACCATCCATGGAGGAAAGAAAGATAGAAACCTTATCCATGGAGGAAAGAAAGATAGAAACCTTATCCATGGAGGAAAGAAAGAGGAACCTTATCCATGGAGGAAAGAAAGAAATAGGAACCTTATTCATGGAGGAAAGAAAGATAGAAACCTTATCCATGAAGGAAAGAAAGAGATAGTAATCCTTAACCATGGAGGAAAGAAAGTTAGGAACCTTATCCATGGAGAAAAGAAACATAGAAACTTTGTCCATGGAGGAAAGAAAGAGATAGGAAAGTTAACTATGGAAGAAAAAAAAGAAGATTGGATTATTTATGATAGAAAGATAGAAAGATGCCGGAGAAATAAAGGTAAGATAGGAGCAATATAAAAAAAGATAGGATGGGCTTCTTCAGGAAAGATAAGCAGAATAACATCATGGAGGAAAGGAGGATAAAAAGGAACCATGGATAAAAGAAAGATAGGACGGAACCACGGACAAAAGAGAGGAAACATGAGAAAATATTGGTAGAAAGCATGGAGAAAAGTTATAAAGGAAGCCTGAGGAAAGATAAGAAGTACGGAGCATTAAAACAAGAACAGTCTATGGTATTTTCCATCACGCGAAACTTACTTAACTCAGACATGCTATGTTCTGTCATCGAAAAACTGCACATTAGAATCACCGTGTTATACCCATATCTAGTACAATGGTGACCAGAAGAAAATGGAATGATTGTCGTCTTCATTCTTTCTTGGAATCATTATTTTACAAAATATTTGGAATTTTGTTTTTAAAAAAATCAAGAATCATCGATCTATTAATCAATCTATTAATCAGTCAATCTATCAATCAGTCAATCAATCAGTCAATCAATCTATTAGTCAATCAATTAATCTATTATCTATTAATCTATCTATCTACAAACCAATCAACCAATCATTCAATCAATTAATCTATTTTTCTATATATTGATCTATCTTTCTTTGTATTTTATATATCTATTTATATATCTATCTATTTATATATCTGTTTATTTATCTATTTATCTATATGTCTATCTAACTCTCCCTCCTGACCCTACCTATAAAATCTACTAACTATCTATCTATCTAATATTTCTATTGTTGAATGGGTTTAGTTTGGTTGCAACCACGGAACCTGTTGTATACCCCATACATACATTTACAGGCAACTCTTTATATTCAGTCATTCGTTCATCCTTTCATTCATTCATTCTTTTATCCTTTCATCCAATCATTCTGTTATTCTTTCATCCTATCATTCTGTTATTCTTTCATTCAATCATTTATTCATTATAATATTCTTTCATTCAATCCTTTATTCATTATAATATTCTTTCATCCAATCATTTATTTATTCAATCTTGCCTTTATCTATTCTTTTATTCCTGCCATAAATGCAGTTTGAACATACCAATATAAACTACGCTGTACATTGTCTGAGTATCTAACTGCGTTAATCCTTTAATAAGTAACACTTGTAAAGCCACTACACATAGCTGTGTATTATGATTAGATTATATATAATATTGTGAATGCACATTGGAACTTAAAATATCACATACAGATTTTGTAAATAAGATCAGTTAGAATCAGAACTCCACTTTGATTACAGTGTAGAGTAATTTGGTTTCGTTGAAACCAAAGAGAATAGAATATATTAGAGTGGAATTTACTACAAAAAAGTGTAAAACGGCCATTGTGTTGTACTGTTTCTATACATCAGGTGTACTTCACATATTTGTGCTTTATAACCTTTTGGGCCCTGGAATATCATTTTATAAAAATCTAGAATTAATATTAAAAGAAAACCAAATTATGAAATAGGCTGGTTTCATAATTGACCAATGATCATTTCACATAGACTCTATGGCTTTCACTTTACAAACGATGATTTTCCGTTTTAACAATAAATCAAATGATTTTCATTACCTAAATCATTTTATAAAGTTTATTTAACAACTTAAAAATATTCGAAATTGAAATGGATAGTCTAGGGAACATACTGTATTTATGTACTCTACTTCATATAATTTGTGAACATTTAAATGATATTTGTACACTTTGAACTCTCTTTCAGGCTGAAAGGGACTGACAAAATTCATACAAATTAAGATCATGTTATAAGTATTGGTATTGATCAATAGAACGCTATTGTTTGGTTGACATAGCAAACAAGATCTCACCCACAGGGGCGTACGAAAGCATTTGTCTAGGGGGGGGGCACATTTAGCGCGCGTCAGCGCGCAAAAAAATTATTGTGCCCCCCCTGAACAACCCCTTTTTGAAAAAAAATATTGATACTTTTGATACAAGCGTTAAAATAAGTTATTTATGTAATTTTCTTAAGAGGGGGCACAATGTCCACAAGGGGGGGGGGGGCACAAAATCAGGCAATCCCTCTTAATACTGTGGTGTAAGCTTCAAGTATCTATACGATGTAATTATACTTAAATGGAATACATGCGTAATTTCAAGTGACCCTCCATTTATAGAGTAGCATGTCCGATTTACCTTTGAAACCTTCGTTTCTCCGTCGTTTCTGAAGCAAGAAAAGTCACTTTTGTAGAGAAACCGCAAAAAAAAATATTCAATATGGGAGACATGGATATTTAATGCAATACTTGGTCACACACAGCTTTGAAGGGTATTGTGAATCAGAATATATTTATGTGTCAGACATTGATCATTAGATCAATACTGTCTTGTTGACATAGCAAACGTGATCGCACCCAGATAGTGGCGTTGATAGTTCACGGGATTGTAGCCGTGTGGATCGTGTCCTGTTTAAGACATTGATCATTAGATCACTATTTTCTGGTTGACATAGCAAACAAGATCGCACCCAGGTAGTGGCGTTGATAGTTCACGGCATTGTAGCCGTGTGGATCGTGTCCTGTGTCAGACATTGATCATTAGATCACTATTGTCTGGTTGACATAGCAAACAAGATCGCACCCAGATAGTGGCGTTGATAGTTCACGGGATTGTAGCCGTGTGGATCGTGTCCTGTGTCAGACATTGATCATTAGATCACTATTGTCTGGTTGACATAGCAAACAAGATCGCACCCAGGTAGTGGCGTTGATAGTTCACGGGATTGTAGCCATGTGGATCGTGTCCTGTTTAAGACATTGATCATTAGATCACTATTGTCTGGTTGACATAGCAAACAAGATCGCACCCAGGTAGTGGCATTGATAGTTCACGGGATTGTAGCCGTGTGGATCGTGTTCTGTTTGATATTCATAGCGGACGGATTGTATCTGGACTGATACATATGTAGACGAACTTTTAATTGAATTTGATTTATTCATCCTCTAATCATTTGATTTCATAATGATGTTTATAATGATTAGTAGTTCACATTTTTGAATTAATTTCATTGCTAATTTATTTACTTACTATTTTTATTGTTTTAATTCAGCCATTACAAACAGAGGCAATGAGTGATTTTTGATCTTATTTGATTCAATTATTTCTCTTTAAAGTTTTTATTTCGTGCGATCTTTTATAAAAAGAAATACAAAAATATGATTAATTGAAAGAGTAAATCCGCTTGAGGCGCCATTTTGTCTGAATTTTTTGTGTACACTTCAGCTTAACCGTTGCAATACAAACTATTTTAGTCCATTTTTATCTGAGTAATTTGAAAGGTTAAGCTTCATGCATTTTGTTGATTCTACAGTTTTGTTTAGTTTACATTTAGAGTAAATATACAAGTAAATATTTATTGGGGGGGGGGCAGTTCTAATAATCATGAAAATATGATACAATGAGAACAAAATGGTTTTCCAAAAAGGCAAGAAAATATGATAAGCCCCTAATCAACAGACTTTAATTTTGTCCCTTTCTGGAAACAGTTATTTTAAAATATATTAATTTTAGTGTGAAATCAGCTGACAGAAACTAAACTAAACCAAACCAAACTCCAGTATGAAGGTGGCCATCTTGATTGTTCTTATATCAAACATTTCAGTTGTATTTCCGGCAATAGCACAGGTACAATCTTAGATAAATTCAACAGTGCAGTGATCCGAACTGTACTGTACTGTACTGTACTTGGACTAAACACTGTACTGTACTGTACTGTACTGTACTGTACTGTACTGTACTGTACTGTACTGTACTGTAATGCACTGTTTAGTTCTGTACTGTACTTTTCTGTACTGTACTGCAGGTTGTTTACCTGGGAGGAATAACCTACCTACTCCCTGATGAATGCCCGGAGCGTGAAGGTAAAATATTCTTTAATTTTTATTGTACAGTTTACATGTACACTTTACAGTATAAAATGTACGCTGTACAGTTTACAATGTACGCTGTACAGTTTACAATGTACGCTGTATAGTTTACAATGTACTTTGTGCAGTGTACAATGTACGCTTTATAATGTACATGTACGCTGTAGACTGTATACCATAGTTCATTGAAAATAAAACAGTGGCTTAGTAATATTTACCTGTCCCCCCATTTGTTGTCTAAAATAGTTGAAACCACTTTTTTATACCCCCCTCAGTCCCCACGGATATTCTTTTCATGAATTTTTTACATTTTCAGTTTTTCCGTCAGAGTCTGATTATCAAAATAGGTATAATTATTATTATTAAAACAAGTTACAGGTACTTTTATCTAAATTCAAATTTTCGTTTAAAAAAATGATTTACAAATTTTTTTTAGACTCAGTGTGTAACCGATACCTTACAGACAGGTGAACTATTTATAAATCAAGAAAATTTGAGCTGGAGGCGAGTAAAGAATTGATTTTAAGCAGTTCTCCATGTATAGAGTGACATGTCAGATTCACAACTTCAGTCTGTGAACACCTCTGTTTTCTCTAGAAAAATGGATTATTTTCATATTCTGTATATTCTATCAATGCCTTTATCTTTCTCATTGTTACTCAGAAAGGTTTAAAGGATAGTGTAGTAAATTAGACATACAGCAACTTTTTTAATAATTGACTTTGAAAGTCCGTTTTATGCAGAGTACTTAAAGAATGCCTGATTCTTTTACAATTCAAGTTTTGCGCACTGTTGAGTTTTGATATCCTTATTTTTGGTGTTTGATTAGAGTATCTCACGGCTCAAATCATGGTGTATTTTTGTTTTTGATCAGAGTATCTCACTGCTCATATCATGGTGTATTTTTGGTGTTTGATCAGAGTATCTCACTGCTTAAATCATGGTGTATGTCAATCTAGACACAATTTATTTGTACTAATGATTTACTATCAATGTCAATCTGGACACAATTTATTTAAACCGGTTCCCAATCTATATCTATCTTTCAAGAAGAGGAGTCAGGATGCTTCTAGTTTGCTAACCAAGAAGTAATTACTCTCACACCGTAATCAAAGCGGATTCTAATTCCAACTGGGTGTATTTTGCTTTCTATGATACAGGTTCAGTTAATCAACGTAATTACAAGTTGTACGTTGTTATATACAAGCGTATGTTAACTAGACACATTACAGATGACGTTGTTATTTACAGACATAGGCAGGTTAGGTTAATCGCAATACAAGTTTTGCGTAGCTATTTACAAGTGCATTTAGATTTACAGACAATGTAAAACGTAATCTCTGTAATCTCTCATTATTCGCACACATTCTCTGTAGATTTTTTGGAATTTTTTTTGAAAAGACGACAATTGAAGAATTTTTAGAAATCAGCGAACAAATTCGTAAAGACTAAGAAATTCAATATAATGATGAAAAAGAATTAATAATTGATTAGTTGACAAATTTCTTTTGAGAAATATATTCCTAAACATCTAATTAGTTTACTATAGAATTTTCAATAGAAAACTTAAAATTTTAATCTACAGTCCCTTATAGGTATAAAATAAATTTAATTTTAATAGTTTAATTTTTTTCAAGGAACCAAGTTGACCGTACCTGTTTACACGGATGTTTGCAGGTCAGTCTAGGATTTTTTATTCGAGGGAGCAGGGAGCTCATCCAGATTTTTATTTTATATAGTTCTACTATATCAAAAAAAAACATTTAAAACTGTCCATACTTAATAAATCTAATTAAGTTCTATCTGTCAATAATTATTTATACAATTAAGTGCTATCTGTCAATAATTAATTAATATAATTAAGTGCTATCTGTCAATTATTAATTAATATAATTAAGTGCTATCTGTCAATTATTAATTAATATAATTAAGTGCTATCTGTCAAAAATTAATTAATTTAATTAAGTGCTATCTGTCCATAATTAATCAATATAATTAAGTGCTATCTGTCCATAATTAATCAATCTAATTGCTGTTAATATCTGTCAATAATAATTAATATAATTAAGTGCTATCTGTCAATTATTAATTAATATAATTAAGTACTATCTGTCAATAATTAGTTAATATAATTAAGTGATATCTGTCAATTATTAATTAATATAATTAAGTGCCATCTGTCAATTATTAATTAATATAATTAAGTGCTATCTGTCAATAATTAATTAATATAATTAAGTACTATCTGTCAATTATTAATCAATATAATTAAGTGCTATCTGTCAAAAATTAATTAATATAATTAAGTGCTATCTTTCAATTATTAATTAATATAATTAAGTGCTATCTGTCAATAATTAATTAATATAATTAAGTACTATCTGTTAATTATTAATTAATATAATTAAGTGCTATCTGTCAGTTATTAATTAATATAATTAAGTGCTATCTGTCAATTATTAATTAATATAATTAAGTGCTATCTGTCAATAATTAATATAATTAAGTGCTATCTGTCATGGAGCTGTTAACTTCCAAGACTGTCCCGTAAATGGAAGAAGGTAAGGGTGAGGGCACATAAATTTCTCTAGAAGGGGATTATTCATTTGGCGTACAGTCCCGTTTTTTGTCTCATATAATCTGTATTGTACTGTACTACCTGCTCTGGCATAGTTGAAATTCGGCCCGGTACATGCAATGAACTGGAAACAGGGAGTATTGAATAGAAGGGAGATAGAACTGAAGCGGCCTGCCCTACCATATGATTATACATGCTTTGCAGATGGTACTTCATTTGAATAAGAAATATTTTTCTGATGAACAATTAACACGTATACAAAAACCTATTCTGAATATTTCTTATAAAAATTCTGCATAAACGAATGCTTTCATTTCTCAACAATAATAACGATTTTAAAACAAATCAATTTGGTTTTTTGCCGGGACGCAATGTTATGCAAGCAATTACTAAGCTTTTAAACTATATTTTCAGCGCACTAAATAATAATGAATCTGTTTTACTTATCATGCTAGATATATCTAAAGCTTACGACTGTATTGATTACAAGATACTTCTAAAAAAGCTTTACAACGCAGGAATTAGGGGCAACACATTACAATGGTTTGAATCTTACGGGGCAGGGGGCAAAAAGTCGATATAAATGGTACCTTCTCGGACTTAGTCGAAATATTAGAGATAGGTCTTGTTCAAGGATCAAGTCTAAGCTGTTTACTGTTTATTAT